CGCATGTCTCCCACGTCGTGAGGGAAGCCTCGTGGTTCTCAAACCATTGTCTTGCCGTTCCCTCCAGTGCGAAGTACACGTTTTGGAGGCGCTGTTCTGCCGTCCACGCGTTGTAGCGAGCCACACGTTCGTAGTGCTGCAGCCAGTCTTCTACGTCCTCGTAGATTTCACCGTGGAATGGCGTCGGCACACGGGGAACCACAGACAGGAAGACGTAGGACGGTGCTGCTTGGGGGTTTTCCGTCGGCTGGGCCGTGGAGTCCATCGTCGGCTTCGGTAGCTTCTTTGTTTTGTCCGGTAGTGGTCCAAACTCAGGGCGTTGTCCTTGCAGACGCTGGCTTGCCCGAGGCCCTGCCTTTTCCACGAGTCGACGACTTGGAGTGGGACTTGCCGAACGGGTCCTCGGAGGGGTACGGTTGAGAAACATAGAGTGTCTACCCAGCACCTCCACCAAAATGTCACGAATGACAAGGGATGAGGCGTCAAATAACTGAGTAAACTAAACGTTTAATCGGGCGAACTTGTGCCCAAAATAAAGAAGGAAACAAAAGATAACAGTAGAGCGTCGCGGGCGTCGAAGTCGGCGAAAGAGCATAGTCGAACGCTGGGGCGAAACTGGCTCGACAAGGTTGCGGGTGGCCTCTTATCTAGAGTGAGTCACTATCTCGAAGATTCGGCGGAGAAGGTTTGAGCGTAGCGCGCTTGGGGCGAGAATGAACACGCACTTTCTAGAACAACAAAATCAGGGATGAACGATAGAAGGTATGTCCGCAGCAAGAATAAACAAGAATCTTCTACAAGTCCGTGACCCTGCGCGCGGCAATATTATCGACGTAGAAGAGGACTCCGATTCAACCCGTTAAAATACTCTGCATCATCCGCTGAAACGCGGCGGGCGCCGATGCAAGTCCGAAACAGACGCGGCGAAACCGTAACAACCCTTCATGCGTGACAACCGTTGTTATCGGTCGGCTATCCTCTGCCAACTCCACCTTGTGTTAGGCGGATGCGAGGTCCAGTTTGGAAAACCAAGCCGCAAGCCCCACTAAGCGCATGCAAGATGTGAGGCAAAGGAAATCCCTCGACGACGACTGCCTTGATCGGCTCTCGTAAATCTTCACAGAGACATCTTTTTTCTTTACGACTACTATCGGAGACATCCACTCTGATGCGTTTACGCGTTCGATTATACCTTTTTGTTCCAATCTTTCCAACTCGGCTGATATTTGATCTCGTAGCATCAAAGGTAACCGCCGGACTTTGGCTGACACTCGTTCATTGGCGCGCTGCTTCACTTCATGCAGTACGTTTTTCGCCAGCCTTAATTTGTTGCCAAAAAGAAAATAGAACTCACTCAGTTCCGGAGGAAGAAACTTGGGGCTTGCAGTTGTCTGTAAGCACGCCAGAGACAAATCATCAATGTGTAACCGCAGTTGCTGCACGGTATCTAGTCCCAACAACGCCATGTCTCGTGGAACCACGTCGAAGTGGATGCACGCCGAAACGATCCCGCGCAAGGGTTGAACCGTGGGACACCCTACGACCGGAATCTTTTTCTTCTCTTGAGAAGTCCCGCAGAGGTAGCTGGTGTCAAGACGAAGTGACTGGCGAACTTTGTTTGATATATGTGCTCAGGCAATACAAATGCCGATAGACACAGTGTCCACCACCAGCTGAACAACTCGCCCTCGACGTGAACGTCGACGACCAAGGTCGTGCATCTTGATGGTCGCATAGCTGTCAGCATGTTCAGCACTTTCTCGTCGCAGTTTTTATCTTGAATGGCTCGCACTGCAGGCATCCCAGGACGCCCAGGAGCAGGACCTCTGCAGACAGCTTGAAAGTGTCCAATCTTGTGGCACTTCGCGCAAAGCTTTCCTCACGCTCTGCATTATTCTGCGTTGGCTAGATGCCTAGAGGAACCGCGCCGGTTACACTTGCGTGTCGGAACTGGCGGTCAATCACCACTCGCTGGACGACACCTGATTTTCTCGACCAGCTGGACGTTGACGGCTTCAAGCCCCTCCTCGCAGATTGAAGCACCTTCCGCTGCTTGCTCGAATGTTTGCAGAATTTCAACAACCTCGGCCAGCGCTGCGACCCCTTCAAAAGAAGTTTTTTCCACAACTCTGGACGTCGGATTTCGTGGACGACCTTGTCCCACAATGCCGTTTCCAAGAAGGCACCGTAGTCGCACGTTTTGAACAGTCGGCGAGCACTCACGTGCACCCGTACTGGCTCGTCGGGAGCTTGTCGTCGTAATGTGAACCGACGTCGTTCGACGAGCACGTTCCCGATGCTTGTAAAGTGAAGCTTCATAGGTCGAAAGCCTCCGTGTAAACGGCTGGTTTTCTTATTTATTTATTCATGCGTTAGCATTAGCGCCCTGGTTGTACATGCGCTGACCTCGGATTGGTTTAGAGCACACGTATATAAAGTTCGTCACGTCGCCACGAGATGGCGCCACTGCCCCAATGGCTGCTGCAACTGGCTAGGAAACACCTTCTGCAAACGTCGACAGATGCGGCGGGGCTTGGGGATAGGTCGAATAGCAACGGAGGCCGATGATCGCTGGCGACGCCCATTCGCCGATTTCGGCACCGCGCAGTTGGGGATAACAGGAGTATCACTGGGGCGCCCATTTTACAAACGAAGGAACAATACCAGCGTTTTCTAATTTAGTAATTAGTTTGCTGTGGGGCACCAAGTCAAAAGCATTACTAAATTCTAGAAAAATGGCATCAACCTGGCTTCTTTCAATTATAGATGCAAAATCTTGAATAATGGGAACAAACTGAGTAATTGAAGAGAATACTTCTCTAAGTCCTTGCTGATATGGCGTAAGTACATCATTACTAATTAGTGTTCAGGATACCGGTAATTTGGTTAGCAATTATGTTTTCCAATATTTTACAAGATGTATATGCTAAAGAAATATGCCGCTAGTTACTTATTGATGTCTGGTTACATTTCTTAAACACAAGTACAACCCGTGCCAAATGCCAATCACTTGGTAGAGTACTCGATGTCAAGGAAATACTTAAAATGTATGTTAAACAATGTGCCAACACCTCAGCATTTCGATGTAGAAATGCGTTAGGAATCCTATCAGGAACGCAAGAAGTTCTCACTTTTAAATTTAATAGCAGAGAAAATACTCCCTCACAAGATATAAAACCTGCAGGGAAACAGGATGACAAATTTTTCCAGCAGAGTTAGGCATGTCGCGGCGAGAGAAAACTGACTGAAAGTAAGTATTAAAGTGGTGAGCAATTTTGCTCGGATATAATCTAATGCACCATCTACCTTGACGTGATAAATGGGCCTCTTCCGATCATGGAGATAATCCCAAAAATGTTGGGAGTCGTTTTTCAATAAATTTATAAGCGTATGAGAAACGTATAACTCATTTGCATGATGTACTTTTGCAGCGAGAAGGTTCTGAAAGTTCTGAATTTGATCAACATTAGTACAGCTTTTCTTTTCTTTTTAGCCGCTTAATTCGTCGTTGAAGATTAATGATCTCTCGGGTTGGGTTCGCGAATGGGCTTAAACTTGCTGGGGATGAAGTTTTCCACTCAATGAGCCCAAATTGCCTTAAATTTGTTCCACAGAACATTAAAATCAGGGTCTTCGAAGTCGTTAAGACAATGTTCTAAATAATCAAGAATACTTTCGTCATTAGCCAGGGTAAACCATGTAAAAAATAAACGCGTACTTTTTGGCGAATTTGAAGACATGGTACAACTGCAATGCAGAAGCTCATGGTCAGAGAGCCTCCGTTGCTGCAGCAGTGACTGTCGTTGTTGCAGCCTCCGGAATAACGTACGAAAATCCCGGCGCCGTTCAGCCCCCAGGCACTGCAGTAGTATCGCCTTTTGTCGGGCTGGCGGCGTCGCTGCTTCCAGGGAATCACCGGGTCTCCCGGCGCCTCCAAAAATGGGGCCAACGGTGGTAGCCCTACCTAAAGTCACTGGATTTAGCCTTACCCAGCGTATCCATCCCGTAGACGGTGACGCCCCTCCGGAGCAAATCGCGATAGTGGGCTGCGGCGGCTGCAGCCGAGAAGCACGCTATGTTGTAGACTTCGCCAATCTGTGGTGGCGCCGGGCGATGACAAAGCCCGGTCGACCGAACAAGTGACGACACGCGCGGGGGTGGACGCTGAACATACTTTACTCCGATGATGATATGCTTATATAAATATGTTGGCATGATGCACAACGCCACTTATATACAACACCGGTATTTGCTCAGTTCACCATGTAAGTTTCACACCGCAGAAGTAGTAGCTCGAGGGAACCAGCAAGTTGAAATAACCGTCAGTAAGCGGCAATGGCAAAACCTGCAACCTATGTTTATAAGGCTTGTTCACTGGGTGCCTTATTTGAGCACGTTATTCACAGCGCATTCTTGGGGAAAGGGTGTTGGGGGGGGGGGGGGGTGTTGTATGGTTGGCCTGGCAGAGGTCCCCGCTTAAGTAAGGTAGACCTAGCAGCAGCTGTGAATTACTGAGATTGACAGTTTTGCAGTATTTGTGTGATAAATTGTATGAGAAATGGTGGCTTATAACATTGTCATAAAGTATTTCAAACCCATGGTAAAAGAAGGATGAGTAAAAAATAAAGAAAAGCAGATCAGAAGTGCTCTAGGACTGTACCCTGTAGATGGCGCTAGTTTGCTCTGCCGTCGTAAGTGGCCGCAAAAGATCATAAAGCACTCGGTCACAAACGCAAAAGTGTGAACTAGCTCTTGAGTAACGTATAGGCTTATAAGAAACTCTCCGTTTCAAGAACTCACAGTTGTCGGTAAAGACAGCTATAATTTGCAAATCATGAATCGTTATTAATTTGTACGTTACGTGAGATACATGAGATACTGACGCAATGTGAACCAAAGAAAGACTTGATCACGTGTCTGCTCCTGATTATGTGTTAATTTGACTCGAGCTTCCTAAGCAAGAGCGACATTTATTATGAACATCATTATTTTTTACTTACCGTCGACGTCTCACCAACCAGTTCTTTGATTTTCGCAATGACGCGTCCTGGCGTGATTTCACCGCTTACCTAAAAAGAGGGAGAAAATTTCTTGGCCTTACGAAGGGGTATACTTTAAAATAAGGAGCGCCGTGAAAGTGCATGCCAGTAAGGCTAAGTCGAATACGTAACATTCATATAAATCCACGAAGTTGTCATTCACACTTGATAGACTCACCTTTGATCTAAGCTTCAAAAAATATTTTACTTACACGGTGAAGATTTTTTTTTTTTATTCGAAGTACCTTACAATCTCACGGAGATGATTAGGTAAGGAGCGGAGAAGGGAGGAGGATCTCGAAATACATAAATTCAAGATATTAACAAGTGCTAAACAAGAATGCACAAAATCAATTGGCAATTTAACTTTGAACAGCGTAAAGTGCTTTAGGAGCCAGAAGTATTGATTGAGAAAATAAATTTGGTCAAAATAAGACAGATGGTATCTGAAAAAAAAGGGGCTTACAGTTTGTCGCAATGTTGTGATGATCGTCTTGAGGTTTAGGGCATACACGAATTTTTCCAAGAGTCTTCTGAGCACGTACGCTTCCCTGTCCTCAAGGTCGTTGTTATCTGATGTAACGCCGTCCACTGGGAAGTTGTTTGCATCTTTGTTTATCTTCACTTCGACAGCTTCACTAGATTCCGTAGAGTAGTCTGCCACATGTCCTTTTTCGACACGAACTGTTTTTCGGAAATGAAGAAAAATGCCACATGTTTCCTCGAAAAAGACGTTATCCGAGAAATGCCTTGGTTTCTGATTGAGCTTACTAAGTTTCCGTTTCCAGGTGTATAACGAGTAATCTTCTAGTACTTTCATATGTTACTGTCGTATCATAAGGCTTAATGAATCACCCAGGCGCTCGACATTAGTATTTTCTTGTCCGACTGTATTTTTCTTTTGCCGTAAAACTACTGGAAACCATCCTATTTTCCAGCTGGAGTCAGTCAGCTTTTTGGCCACAGTCCCTTTACAGAATGGGCCTCATTTTGTTCATACAAAAACAAAACAGTTCAGTAGCCACATATGATTTTGTCGCCCACTGCCTTACATCATGTCACCAACAAAAACGTTCACAGCGATATCACAACTTTTAATATGATCAATGTCAGTTTTCAACAGAAACATGATTGCCTAAAGAGATACCCCTAAGTGTTTCACAGCATTTCATAAAAGCGAAACAATAACTGCAAATCGCAAGTGGTCTGTACTCGGGTTGTAAAACAACTAGTCATAAATTGAATCAAGCGAGATTATGGAAAAAGACTGAATCAGTAGATATAGATATCGAGTCTTCACTTGAGTGCATTAAAAAAATGCAATATGTACGTACCGAGATGCACACAGTGTACCGGAACAAAAACGGCAGCTGCCCAAAGAGCGCCTGTAAGTGCCAGCGCCATCATGATTCTAATAGGAACAAGGAAAAACACCAGTTTTTTATTACAGTCTAATGATTATAAGAAAGCTATCGAACTTATAACTCACGACTCCCATTCAGTGGAGCAGCCTAAAATTTGTTTCAAAGGGGGGGGGGGGGGGGGGGGGGGGGGGAGTGGCGTTATGTTAGTGTCTATTATAGAGGGTCCACTGCATTTTGGGAGGGCTTCATGAATACGTGATAGCTATCCACCTGGTATGAGGCCTTTGTCATAACGCAGGAAAACTGTTGTTGATTTCTAGACCAGTTCATGGTACTTCGCTCGACGAAGTTTTCATTTTAACATGAAATGACATAAGTGGTCAAATAAGCAAACGTCCTTAATGCACTGAGGACGCAGAGCCTCTATTCCTTCCTTATGTATGCTTTGTTGTGGGAAGCAATTATTGTGTTGATAAATTTCAAGATACTGCTTGACTTCGTCATTGTTCACATAGCGTTTCGCCTCGAGCATCTCATGTCCTTCAAAAGATTCACAGCCTGAAGCCTGCTGAAGGAAGTAATTTTGCTCTTCCGGTATTCTCAGATACATGTTGAGATTTCCGGATTTTCATAGTATTCTCTGTATTCCATTTTTTTTTCTTCCTTCAAGTATACGCATTCACAATCCAGTGGTTTTAAATTGTGTGCCTCTAAAACGTACAGGCCAGAACAGGGGGGGGGGGGTCATATTTATGGGCGCATTTCTAGATGATGCGTACTCTGGTTGGACCAAGAAAGAACCTGCTCGCAGTCGGCATTTGGCCCACGGACCGTAATAGTGCCAACACCAGCTAGAATCGTCAAGGCTTGCCAACAACCTCCTTTAGAGTCATTGCAGCCATCTGACCGTAACAGTCATCACATTTAGCGCCAACTCAACGATTGAACCCGAGCACGATGCCAACCGTCCTGCGAAACGTTGATTGGACACAAGGCCCACAGCCGACCGCTGATGCACCACTCGTGTTTTCGCTCGTTCTCGTTGTGATGACGTCAAAAATGCTAGTGCACGGGATTCTTTTTTTATCCTATGTGTTGTTGAAACTGCCTTCCTCGGTTCTCTCTACAAGAAAGGTCGCATAAAAGCGCGTTTATGAGTTGAACAGCTTACCTTTCATCTGCTTCGCTCGAGATGGAGCCCGCTTCAGCGTTTATAAAGACCCGCTATCTCCTGTTGATCCCAATGAGCACCTATAGTAATTCCCACGCGAGTAAACATTATCCTCGGAGATAAGTTTAAACTGTCAACAGGTCGGGCGATGGCCTGACCCGGATCTAGAGACAAGCTGCAGCTGACTGGGAGACGAGTAATTCGACAAAGTATTGATTGGTTAACCCACTGGTCTCTGTCTCTGAACTCACGCAGCTGAATAGGAACGTCACCACTTAATTAACTCCAAAGGTCTTTGCGCCTTAATCCGCGGTCCCACTGCTAATATACATAATACAAAAGCCAGTCTGCAGTCGCCGTCTGAGGCGTACTTCTTCCTCTTATATAGGATGGTTCAAGTCGCCAGGCTCGATCTAAAATGGACCGTAAAAATCGACGCCTGCACGTAGCCATCTAAACTTTTCGTCAAAGGTGTATTTCACAGGTCGTTTTTTTTTTTTTTTTTGTAAAATTACAAAGCGTAGTTTTCTTTTAGTAAAAAATAGGGCCAAGAAACTTGCCAGGGTCTACGGCGGGCGGCGACCTAGACGACCAGGTCCAGTTGCGGGGTGTGTTTGGCGTTCGTATTGATAGATGGCGTCGGGAGCAGCGTCTGAAGGTGCAGCCGACCAGCGAAAGATAGCAGACGACACGCAGACGAAATCCGTTGGCAACAAAAGCGCCGCCGTTATGCAGACGCGTTTTTTACTCTAAATTTTGCTTTTATTGTTCGCATTAATTTTTTAACAGAAGGTACATTTTAAACGGATTATATTCATTTTAATAACAAAAGGTGGTCGCGAGCCGTCGCGATAAGGAGGTAGCGCCACCTATCAATACGAACGCCAAACGCACCCCGCTACTGGACCCCTGTCGTCTGCGTTGCGGCCCGCCGTAGACCCTGGCAAGTTCCTTGGCCTTATTTTTTACAGAAAGACAGCTACCGTTTGTAATTTTACAAGAAAAAACCGACCTGTGAATTACACCTTTGACGAAAAGTTTGACGAAAACTCTCTGGCTACGTGCAGGCGTCGATTTTTACGGTCCCTTTTAGACTGGTGACTTGAACCACCCTATATATGACAGCTCTGTCATGTTGGTCGCACGAAAACTGTCCGCAGACATGTTCCAAGCAAGCATGAAGCCAACATGCTTGGAACGCGCTTGAGGAGTGTCCGCAGATATTTCTGTCCTCATGCCTGCAGAGAAACTCCGCGTCTTTTGCACGATGTACGATCAGTGTGACGGCGGCCTTAGGCTTACAATAAATTTCTTCGTGATTTCTTTTTGTTTCAGCCGGAAGGTCACTGCCACAACTGAAATGCGAAATAAGGGTGTATATTAGCTATACTTATACAGCATGTACTACACTAACGCTTTGATCCCACTATGGGCGGTCCGCAAAAATCGGGTTCTCAACGTGTCGCGCTGAGATTTACTACAGAGGTGCGGCTATAGCCTTTGCATCGCTTATCACCCGGGTCAAAAATATTGTGTCAATGAGATGTGGACGCATGCGCAGAGTCTGATATATCATACAGAAGACGAACAGCGCATGCCTTGAAGGCGTTGCACAGCCCAACAGACAAAGATGGCAGCGCGCAGAAGGCGAGTTTCGCAAAAGCCTGTTTCGGGCTGTTTGTCGCGGCATTCGCAGACGACGTCATGACCGGACTCGCCCGGTTAAATCTGCTACCGACAGATGTCGGAAGCACCGAGCGCGCCGGCAGTCTGCTAAGCTCGGCGCCGGCATTCGCGGCATGCGCTCGACGCTTCCGGCACCTGTCGGCGGACGATTAAAGTAGGGGGGCCCGTTCATGACGTCATCTGCGAATGCCGCGGAAAAAACACGCAGCAGATTTTCCTTTTTTGTTTTGTTTGTTTTTGAACGGAGTAAGCTCATCAGCTGATATTTTAACTTTGCGTGCACCACCTATAGCCGCACCTCTGTATTAAATCTCAGCGCGATAGGTTAAGAAACTTATTGTTGCGAACTGTCCAAAGTGGGATCGAAACGTTCGTTAGTGTACATGCTGTATACCGTTAGTCAAATATATACAACAGAAACACTCCACAGCTTTTGTTGTTCTCTTGAATGCCGCTGACTGCAACTCTCTGACTACAAAAACGTGTATCGAGCAAAATTAACGAAGAAGAAAAAAAACCAACAATGGTTATTTAAAGTTAGATGAAAGAAAACTTTACGAGCCTTACGGGTCGTGAAAAAACACCTCGCTTTAACTGCCCAGTTTCGAGAAAACTTTCAATGAGAATAAGCTAGAATCACATGCCGAGCCACATACGACCTAAAAGTAATGAGTGCGACTCCGTGGAAGCTTTTCCTCGCTGCGGGGGCTCTTCTGACCGGTAACAACCTGTAGTTAATTGCATGCTGTAACTCGACAGTTCCTAACATTGAAAATAGTATGATAGTCCTATAAAAATTTCGAAATGTATAATACAAGCGCTTGAAACCGTGCGCCTCTACAAGAGCACTTGATGTATATTGTGGCTCACATGATGAGTCATGGTTAAATTTATTTCCCAAATAAGGCCCTTATCGATTTCAGACATTTGCCCGTCGGGTGCAATGTTTATGGGTATTCAATCCTCTGCAATAAATAGCATATGCGCTGAGCTCAGTGATAGTCGAAGAGTAAATATCTAGCGGCGATCTACCTCGATGGCGGATAATATTTTTCATATTCAATACTGCGTCGCAGGCACGTATCCAAGGACGGAAGGGGGGAACCATGGGGCTCACCCCCCCCCCCCCCCCCCCCCGAAATCCTCCATTCTGCTGGGGCCTCCACTCCATTCTCCTTCTCTTACAGCATTTCGTCATGGGCGACCCCTCTCCCCCCCCAAACAACATCCTGGCTACGTGCCTACCGCGTCGATACTCTGGCTCCGAAATTTAGGCACCCTACTGTATACATAGTACTAGTACGACGTAATATCGCATCGCAGCGCTGGCCCTGTCGGGCCAGTTATATCAGGACGCTCCAGAGCAGGGTGGAAAGAAATTGTGATATTATTGGAAAATTAACGTAAATAAGGTTTATTTGGTTTAAATTACATTAATTTGATATAAACCAGATTACTTTCATTTAAATTAAATTAAAATGATTTAAATCACGGCAGGCTAAAAATAGTCCTCCTTAGTAACTGTATATATTTTTATATACAACAGACTGATTGATCAATTTATTCGATTACTGAAAACCCTACGGAAGAAAGTACAATTTAATTAGCAACTTTTTATCGAGTGAACCCTGCCATAGTAGAGCAAAAAAAGCTGCTTAATAATTTTAGTAAAAAAGCTTTTTCTGCTTTTTTTGCGATGTTCTTGCAATAAAACGTGAGTTTCCTAGTGTTAGTTTATTTTGCGTTCTTGTTTAGTTGCAATAGACACCACGTAACTGAAGAACAAAGTGGGTGGTAGAAAGAAAGTTTATCGTTCCAATTTGCTCGACCATAGCTTTGAGCTTATGTTTAGCTTGATATAAATCTTTATTTGCTTGATGACTCCTTGATTTAAATACCAAACAAATGCGCATTTATTTATTTATTTGTTCATTTATTACACATAACCCCAAGCGTCGAAGCATTAACATAAGAACGAATCAAATAATAAACAAACAATTAAAAATATATATATTATTGTTATTATTATTACGGAAAAGGTTCGATATAAACCATCATAGTAAAACCGGTTTGATCTAAAGCATGATTGAAATCATCTTGATTTTTATTATCCACTTTGTTTCAGAGGCATCCAGTAGCGAAATCTGCGTATCGTTTATTTCGTTTTAAAATCTCGTTTTTCGCGCATTTTAACGAAAAACTTGTGCTTCTGAGGCTCTTTTCACTCAATAATCTATATTTAAGCAACAACAACAGCAACAAAAACAAAACGCTAAAATGTTGTTTTTGTACATCTTTAATTTGCGCGGTGATTACGCGGAGAGGTAGCTTGAGTATATATTGACACAGTGTATAGTAAAATATTTTCATCGCCCCCATTTTTAGGCAGTCTGAAGCTAAATAGTAAATAGTTAAATAGTTAAAAATAACCCTTGTTCGTTAGGGTACCGTGATGTTAATCTGCTTGTGAAGGGGAAGACATATTTCGCTGCCACATGTTCTGAGGTTACTTTTCTTCTGAAGTGGCTTTGTTTCTTGTGCGCTGTTTATCACCATGTTAAGTCAATGGGTAAACTTTGGGAGGTAAAGCAGTACCAAAAGAGCTGGCCAAAACAACTATATAGTCACTGACATGATAAGAGCGGCGTCACTTTTGGATGTCCGACCTCCAGCATGCTCGAATTGCCTTCCGTCATGCACTGGCTTAAAGCTCGAAGCTCACGAGACGTCGAAATGTTGCCGAAAGAAAGCTCACGCTGGAGGCCGGACAGCAGTAAGACCCGCGTGTCCTCTAGAGATGTTAGAGAGCTTGAACGTTGCAGAATATTAAAAAAACTGCATGCAGGCTGTCCAATGGCTGAGATATCATAATCACAAAAGGGCACATGAATATGAAGGCGACCAATGTCAATTCATAGATTATATAACGGACACGTGGGAAAATATTAAGTTGTTTGGATTAAAACGGGGGTCATTATTGTCCCGGGATACGCTGTGCTGTGTGCGACAATCATACGGTTTTTCTTGCAAAATCTATATAACATCAGTTTAAGATACTAAACTCGCTTCACGTGTTTACGCCCTAAAAAACGAATGACATTCCAAATACTCACATAACGTTATGTGCTTCATCTTTTTCATAATATTCTAACTGCTGTTAGTACATTTCAGGAAGTATAAACTACGGATCGCCTTGCGCGATCGACAGTTTTGGAATTACGACGTAGTTTGAGCTGGTCATCAGTTTTACTGCGAAGACTAATAATCTCTTGGGAGATCTAAGGGCTAAGAAGTTTTGCAAAACTGTCGCATTTGAAGGGCTTCGCTATCTCGCACGCGAGACGTGTGCCGCAGATTGTGTGATTGGCCGCAGTGCAGGGGTGTAACGTGCAAGTAGTACGCCTCATTTTAAGGTCTAAGATTTGGCATCTGTGTGTAAGCTTTGCGTACCAAAGGGAGAGCGATGTTGTACGTGCTGATTCTTCTGTGCATCCTGACAGTGGTTCAGGAAAGCACTTGTCAAACGAGTAAGTCTTGAGCACTCTACTTCTCGTTCTCTCGATTTATCTTGAACTTTTTTGTACACTTTATCTTCGCCAATTTATTGCAGGATTAGTTGTGCCTTCATTGTAAAAAAATGCCCAATTAAGAAAAAAAAAGCACATTTGTAAATGTAATGCAAAAGTGTAGGTTTAAAGGGACCATGAAATGATTTTAAAATCGAGTTTCATCCACCGCACGTCGTAAAAGGTGTGAAAAGAAACACAAAAACACAAAAATAGGGAGCCAAAAAAATTATTTGCTATAGAACTTTTAAAAGAAAACTGGACTCTTTTGCGCCTTCCTTCCTTCGCCTGTTCACTACGATGCATCCGCGGAAATGGAGCACGTCAGCCAAATCCAGGTCGCCTATTGGGTAAGAGCCTACCTCACCAGCACCGCGATCGTAAACAATAAATAGCCGGCGAATGTTTCCTAAAAGTTTTGTTAAATAATATTCAGATCCACATTTTGTAGCATAATTAGAGATGTGTGGCGAAAATTGCCAAATTTGATAATGCTGAGAGCCAGGCGCCATCTTTCGTGTGGTAAACGAAGCAACTACTGCGCGTGCGCAGTAGGGCAGGGCCGACAATTTACTTGGGTGGCGGCCAGCGACAAACGTTTATTTTCTTTGTTTTCTTTCCTCTCAAAACTCTGACTGACTGAACGTTTATTTTTCTACGTGTTCTTCCCGCGCGTGCCGACTTCAAGCAGCAAGAAAACAGTACTTAAAACAGACCACGACGAACAAGAACGCTGGATCCACCGACTCCGACGAAGCGTATAGGCCTAGCAGGCATTCCGACTCGGCGCTGCGTTGCTTCGTCGCAAGACCGTCTGCCTACGATCGGCTGGCGTGCTAAATGGAATATGCCCGCGCGACCCTTGTGGACCCTTCCCGTATTATAGTTTGATCACTGACCTCAATTCTAGATTAAGAGGTGAGGTCAATCTCTTCCCCTTGTTTTCCGAGGCAGTGTTGACGAACACTCGTCGAAAAGGGACTCTCGTCGATTCTATCTTCTTGTTTTGTAAAAGCTTGGTCTGCTGGGCAAGTTGGTAATGGACATTCATATTAAAAATAGCGCAAAAGAGACGGGACAAAAAGACGAAGAAGCACACAGGACAAACGCTAGTGTTTGTCCTGTGTGCTTCTTCGTCTTGTTTTGTGTGATATAGAGCTGAAATAAACGCCGTATGGATTACCTTCGTAACACGGTATGTACACTTTGTTATTGGTATGCCATTTTTATTCTGACAGACTGCACGTCACTGTCGAGCTATAACAGTTCGTGGGAGGTATACGTACAACCCCGGTCCAACCTTTCTTTGCCGAGTGTCGCGTCAGTATCGAGTTGCAATCGTAAAAGAACGGTCCCGAAGTGCTTACAAACAGCGCGAATACAAGACTTCCATCAAGCGCGCGCGTCCGCTCCGAGTGTAAACAGGTATTTACGTGGCTCTTGCTGACACTCGTAGTTCAAACGTATCTTTTTTAACGTCGGCTCGCTCCTGCATCTCCGAGGCCGCGAAAAACGCCATCTACGTCGCTTTGCAAACGAATGACACGGGCCGGCCCTTCTGCCAACAATGACAGGGTGGTTGACTTCTGGAGTCTTCACCGGAAGACTCGCTGCACTTCCCAACAGGCATACCGGCGTATGGGACTAGTCCCATGCTGTCGCTGTAGCGCAACATATCTCATTGAATTTCGCTCAGCTGCGATGCGGCGATGAGAGGCGCCGATTCAGGAAATACGTCGGTGACATCAGCGCAGTAAAACCTACCGGCGCACCCCAACTCGTTGCCGCTAACACTCCCATTCTCCTACTGCCGAGAGAACTTCCGGTTCCGGAAACGGCCTACGTCACGGCTTCTTTTGCGGTCAGTTGGAGAGAATGAAAAAGTCGATATTTCAATAATTTTTTGTGTAGAAGTTAATAAACCGAGACGAAAACGGATGCCTGTTCGGCATTCAGTGAACATTGACGGTTTAATGTAAAAGTATTCTGGAAAAAGTAAAAAGGTCATTTCATGGTCCCTTTAATGCATCCTTCATTGTGCGTTCATTTAGTTACCGTAGAATAGATTACATATTTTTTGCCTTTCATCTGTCCGAGCCCGTCCCAGATCCCACTCCTGAATTCACATAATTTATTTCGTCAGATAAACAATAAATTTAAATTTAGTTAGTTTCTTTCGACACTGCTACTAATTGTAAGTTCCTTAAAAAATCAATTGCTGACGGACGAATAACATGTTTCCTTTTTTTAATTATGCACTCTAGTACTTGTTAATTGCAGGCTATAACGCAGAAAATTGAAAACTCATTAATTAACTTTCAGTTACACATTTTTACGATTCTTGTTTTCATTTCAACTACGAAGCTCTATGTTTGTTCTTATGTCAACAAATGTGATACTTTCTAGAAATACATTTGTTACTGTTCCTTTAAAAGTGTGCTTCGATAAAAACGCTTTTTTTAAATATAATATGTAGATAGTATAAATGTTCTGTGTGTGCAGCGCACACATGAATATACGTGTACCAAGCGAACGGTTGTCTTTAGCATTCAAAACAAGCAGTGGTGAAATATAAGCATTTTATCATCGATATTGTACACCCCTGTGAATATCGGCTGACAGGACACACTTGATTCTAGAATGAAGTAAAAAAAATGTTGTCAAAACAAAATAAAAAGAGAACGGTTAGAAAATATGTGAGGAAGAAGGGAAATTCCACTTATAAATTCACTCGACAAAATGTTATAAACTTTGCTCCACGCTTTTTATTTATCTTTTTTTGCAGCACCAGAAACATCGAGGTTTGTAGTGTTTTCGGGTAAGTTTTAAAGTGTCTTCTTGTTGGTATTATCTTAATTTTTGTGGACCGACATATTACCGAGCACGTTTCTTAACTTTCGGCACCCAAACAACAGGGAAACATCGCAAAATACCGCAGCTCATCTCAGACGCACGTAGAACGAAAGCTGATACAGCACTCTTCAACATCACGAGTTGAAATCACACATCTGCCGGCTGCAATGTGAATGTGTTGTAACTTATACTGGAGATCAGTCGTGGAGCTACCTAATCCAAAGGCATCATCCGAATGCGGATAGCTTCCTGTTTCTGACATGCTATCTTGTTTCCCCATATTCACCCTAGTTAATTTTGTAAGTGATATTTTGTTTGCTGCCGGAACCGAAACATCGTTCTCCCTAGTTTTTCCCCAGTTTTCCATGCCACCCAAACGTGACGTCGCCGGCGGGCAGCGAGGCGCGCGGCCGGTAATCTTGTACAGTCATGACTCATTAAAGGGATTTTGAACCGAAATTTGGGTTTCAAAAAATAATGCAGAAGCTGTAGGCGGGACTCTACAATCCCCACAACACTACTCGTAAGGCGATATCTCGAATGGACGACCGTATTATTGGAAAAAGAAGTGGCGAGCGCTTTCGCTGAGCGCTTTTTTTTTTCCTTTCCCATGAAAACAAGGGTAAAAGATAAACTTTTCCCAGCACTGTTCCAACAACCCATCGCGGAGCACAGATTGCTACCCTTTGCAAAAAATATTTCAACCTTGAAGGTGTGAAAAACAAGCTCGATCGCTGGCGCCCGGAAAGCCGCTTCGCTGCTGCCCGGGTCGCTCCTCTGCTTGCCCGCAGTTGGTGTGCACGGGTAGGGTAAAGTAGGAATTTTTCATTGTTGACCGTAAAGAGCCGGTTCCTGGAACCCTTGAGGCCGATGTAACTCGAAAATTAAACAACTTCAAGGAAACATTTTACTTTTATAAAATATTTTGGCTATTAGTTGAGAAAGGGTTACTGATGCGGTCTGCAAATTTCCATCACAATCGAAGACTCTATAAAAAAGATCAAGAGCCATTCCACCTCTGAAGGTGGATGACAATGCAACGAAGCTATTTAGCATACGACACATACGCGACACAGAATTTTGAACAAAGGCACGAACAATCGCCGCCCCAAGGAGCCGGCGGAAACTAGACACGCGCGACGGGACCGCCACCCCGGGACAGCGGAAGGAAACTAGGCAAGCAAGCGCTTGGAACGACGACAAAGAGAGGGCGCGCGAGTTTTTGTTGACGCACATAAAAAATTCACGGAACCGCCTCGCTCTAAGATTGGTAGAGTTTCCCTTTAAAGGGGAACGAAAACCAAATTCCGGAGCTCGTCTCTTTGCTTAAACATGGAGCGGGTTAAAGGGATACTGAGCGGAAATTTGGATTTCGCAAAATAAGGCCACAGAACCGTCGAAAGGGATGCTACTAACTCCAAAACATCACTTATACATCGATATCTCAGACAGATGGCTGTATTCTAGGAAAAGAGAGGCGCGATCAAGCGAGGACTACGACGTCACGATCCTCCTGGAACAGTTGAAAATTAGGGGAAGTGGCCCGGTTTCTCTCCTCCTCGAGTTGCTTCACCAGCTCGAGGGAACGAAGCGAAGAGGAGAGGAAATGAGAGTCGCAACGTCACTTGTCTCGGCAGCCTCGTCGGCCTTGTTCAATCGCGCACTCTACTAAAAATACGTCCATCCGTTAGAGATATATCTGTATGAGTGATGTTTTTGGGTTTTGCAGCGTCCCGCCTATCGCTCCAGCCTTGTTTTGTGAGCTCGAAATTTCGGTTCAGTGGAGGCCACATTTGCGTTGCTCTTTAGCACGCGATTCTTCAAGTACAGCTCCAACTACGGGAGCACCAGACGAGTTTCAGAGCGAGTGTCGCATTTTCTTGTCTCCTTTAAAGGTGTACTCCGCCGATTTCTTCGTAATCCCCGATTTGCTTTAAATTTTGCTAAACTCGCGAAACAACATCGCCAAAATAGTATCCCAAATATTAGGTCAAAATAATTTTTTTTCACGAAGTTATTGAATTTACAATTTTGGTCCTCACCGTGTTTTTCAAACTGAAAGTCTCTACTGGCAACAATGAAAAAGTGACGTCATTGGAAGTGCAGGGGTTCACTCTTTGGACTGTAGAATTTGTTCCCAACTGATTTGAAGCAGTTTCATGGTGTCAAATGAATGCCTTGGAAGCTCGCTCCAGTCCCCGCGCTCCAGCACGGAACAAATAATTGGCATATTCTATTTTTTAGACTACTCGCCCGACTGGCAAGCTGAACTTCCACTGACGTCACGGCCCTGAAAAGGGCGGGTATATTTGGATGTCTGTTTTTGCATCATTTTCATTTGCCGATTTCGCAATAACTATTATGAATTTCACGATATTAAATAGCATTCCAGAAAGGGTAAAGGCCTGGGAGTCAGAAAATATAGTTAGTTGAGGTAGCTCAAAAATCGGCGGAGTACACCTTTAAGTGAGGATGCAGTGTGTACACCTCCTGTAGTGGACGAGAGTTCCTACGTTGTGGAGAAGCGGGGATAAGTCCTTTCTTCAAATGCGTCAAATCTCCTTAAAAAAAAAAAAAAAAAACAAGAACAAAAAAAAAAACAAAAAAAAAACTGGTTTTCGGCGCTAATATTTGCAGTTAATGGGCCTTACATGCAACATGCCTCTCAGCTCCACGCGCCTAGTAGCAGGGTTGTTGCAGTGGGGGGCTCGTGATAATTTTAGGGGGTTTCAGACCCTCCAATTCCCCCCCCCCCTCCGTGCCTACGCCACATGATTCCCCCTCTTTGCAATATCAGCTGATCTTCCAACATCTTATCTCTTTTTGTGCAGGAATGTTTGTTGATAAGCAAGCCTACTACTAAAATTCGAAAGTAATTTGGAAAGTAGAAGTTAGTCGGAAAAAAGTAAATAAAGTAAACTACTAATTACTGAAATAAAATAAAATGTAATTAAAGTTACCAAACTACTCACAAAAGTAGTTAAATCGCAGTAACTTCAGTAGGGTAGTTGACCTACGTACAAGTCTGGTGCCAGTCCGGGTGGGCTGCCCAATTGGGCCCCACTTACAAGTCAAGAAGGTAGGAGAAGCTCCTCCCACAAGTGTGATGCGCCCGTTTCAAATCCATCCGAAGTCGAAAGAATAGTTCCCTGGAAACGCCCCTTGTTCAAAGAGTGATGCCAACTTGTCTCCGACCCCCACTTTCTAAGAAAGCGACCTTTGTATTCATCGGAGATGGAACCGGTCCCCGGAAACTGGCCTTTGTATCCATCGGAGGGGGAACCTAATCCCCCAAAGGTATTTGTTTCCAACGGAGGGGGAAAACTCGTACTCCCTCTCGTGGCTTCCACAACGCTAAGTCAAAGTCGAAAGATAAAGAAGATATTTACAGGAAGACAAAACCCTCTCCCGCGTTTGCCACGACGTCACGGAAACGATGGGACGCTATTGGATGCGGAGGTGGCGGAGGCATAGGCCTCTACATTCTTGACCTGTAACTTACAATAGCAGAAACCGACTTGGGACCCACGTTGACCCTCCTTTCAGAGCCCACTTTGTGCCACTTGGGAGGTTTATGTTTTATTTTCCGTCACTGTCCTTTATTGTGAGGAGATGACCCATACCAAACCCTTTTTCAAACCACATCGGGCAACATTGGCGGTCGCCATTTCTTGGGCACGAGGCGTTTGATTGAATCCGAGTCCTCACCGAGCTCTGACGCAGCACTCGTTATTCGATACGAGCTGAGCCGAATTCACGCCGAACGCTGAGGCAACCCTCGTGACCAATCCATGTTGAGAGTTACACGTGCCGAAACAGTGGCCGTATCGGATGATTGGTGCAGCCGCTACTATGCGGCACCAGCTTGAGAACTCTGGTAGGAAGCGGTAAAACCAATGAAAAATATTTATGGATGCATATTGAAATGTGTCTATTATTCACAGATTTTAATTTTAAATATCGACATAAAAATTATTTTGATAATATTTATTTTTTAAAGTGTAGAACCATTTTTTTACACTTAAGCAATCTGAAAAATGTGATCGTAAGAAACATCATTCGCGTACTATTCGATGGTTCATGTAATTCCACATTCCTAGATTCATTTTATCCTTTGAGAACAATGTGTCAATGAAGCTCTAATATTTCAAGAATAAAACAAGAGTCACAAGCTAGACAAAGGTGTATAGGCAAGGGTCACGATACACTATACTTCAGTGATCCTATTCTTCCGCGTCGAAAATACACACTGCAAGCAAACAGTATCTTACTTGAACAACCAGTTTGCTTCCTTTGAATTCTGTCACCTACGCATACATCTCAATTTATTTGTTTTTTCTGGATGCGGCCTGTTTCTTTGTTCGTTCAGAATGAGTCTTGCTCCGCTGAACACACGTTTTACACGGCACAGGAAAATCTAGAACGAATGATATTCGTGACAACCCCATAAAACGGTCCACTTTTGGTCGCGATTAGTCGGTTAACAGATATGTCGGCAATTAAAGGGCCGTGCAATTAAAGGGGCCCTGCAATCATATTTAAGCGTCTACCTTTTTTTGCGGTTTCCACGTCTCTTGGGGTACGGGCAAGCCAGCGGGCACGGCGAGAGTAACTAAATACCAGTGCGTCATATTTTAACCGGACGACGCGGAAACCTCCTCCACTTACGGGGGCGACCCGCGGTGCCGAAAGCGCGCGATATGTGACGTCTTTGGTCGTTGGCTTACTACTGGTCAGAGCCGCTAAAAGCCTTTTAGTCGAAATACAAAATATAAATTGCGCGAACCGTTTCAATTATTTGTAGAAGTAGTTTTTGTTCGCTATTTTAGATCAGAAAAGAAACAAATGCAGCTTAGAAAGTATGGAAACAAGAAATGACCCGTCGACATACCCGCAACCAAGCAGTGGAAAAGGCGGCGTATACTAGAAAGGTGTAGTGGGATCAGGCACCGACGAGCGGCGAGTGTAGAAAAGTCCCGGATGTACGCGGCGACGCTGCGGTCGTACGGAGTGGAGAATCCGACCGGTTCCGAGCGTTCCGAAGGCCTTCGGCGAGCAGCTTTGGCTTGCAGTTTGGCCGTTTCGCGGTATGGCAGCGCGAAGTGGCTCCCGTTCTGAACTGATCTTTACCCCGTGTTTGCTGTCGTTTGTGGCCAGTAAAGTGTCATGCGGAATTAGTGTTTAATCGGTCGGCAAATGCAATGCGAGCCGCCCTGGCTGCCCGCTTCATACAGCCTATCCAGAACATGCTTTAGTGGCGCCCTCTCGAGCCGTCGATACGTAGTGCATGCGGCAGCCGTGAGCACTCGCTGAGCTCACTGCCTTTCCTCTAGTTCACGGCCACTCAAGCGACCAAGGACGTCATGGAGGAGGCTATTTTTTGCTTGTTTTTGTAATTTTAATTTGCCTATAGCTTTTAAAATAAAGCGAAATTCGAGAAAAGTTTCATTAAGTTCCGAACCTGAGCGCACGTCCAGTGCGCTCAGGTTCGGCGCAAATTAAAAAAAATAAAAAACGAGTAAAAAAGTCCTTGCAGGGCCCCTCAAATGCATTCGTAAAATAATAAGCAGTTAGTCCATCAATTTCACAACCCTACTTTCGAGATGATTACTATAGTCAGTTACAGGTTAAGAAGGTAGCGGCAAATGCCCCTCAAAGGGAATCAGATATCCCTCCGCCACCTTTGCATCCAATAGCGTCCCACCGTTTCCGTGACGTCGCGGCCAACGCGCGAGGAGGGTCTTGCCTTTTTGTACATATTTGCTTCATCTTTCGACTTTGACCTAGCATTGTGGAAGCCACGAGAGGGAGATTAGAGTTCTCCCCCACCGACGGAAACAAATACGACTTTCGGGGATTAGCTTCCCCCCCGATGGATACAAAGGCTGCTTTCAGGGGCTCGGTTCCCTCTCCGATGAATACAAAGGTCGCTTTCTTAAAAAGTGGGATCGGAGACAAGTGGGAATCCATTGAAGCGGAACAAGGAGTGTTTCCAGTGAACTCTTTTTTCGACTGCGGAGATATTTGAAACGGGCGCATCACACTTGTGGGAGGAGCTTCTCCTACCTTCTTGACTTGTAACCGACTATAATACTCCCCCCCCCCCCCCCCCCCCCCCCCCCTTGAGGCTCCGAGGAAAACGCGGCCCACGGATCCTTACATGGCAGGTTCGTCACCCGGCCGAAGTGCTTGTAATCTGACGGAGGCGTATTGCGGAGAAGGTACCTAACCGAGATTTCGGTTGCAAGTGAAAAGATCCCTAGGTGGCAAAAATGAATCCCGATTCATTTTTTGGGGCGTGCCAGATGCCCCCGTTGGTTTTTCATGCAAAACTCCTTAACTTTATTTGAGGCAACCCAAAGGTGTAGGAAGTTGCGCGTGATTCGCTTTGCCTCTAGGTGTGTGTTAGTGCGCCGCTGCTCGCAGCACGCGGAGCAAAAGCTCCCGCTGCAGAACCCATGAGGATCTTTGGTTGAATCCCCATTCCTGCCGGTTTCGATCTGGATGAGTATCGTACAGGCGTGCGGTCGTGAATTACTATTACGTGATCCATGATAAAAACCCCAAGCTAGCGGTGGCACTACACTGGCAAAATGTTTCATTTACATTGGGTACACGAGACGCAATGCTGGCTGACTAACTCGCCCCCCCCCCCCCCCCCCCCCCTCTAAACAAACACAACACACAATTACTTTTTTACGTTTTTTTAACGCAGATGGATCGCACGGCTGTCCCCAGGACCCATGGCAGTGCCACTTGTATTGTTCGAGTCTCAACTGGATCGGCGTCCACGTCAAGAGGTGCATCGACGCCCAGTGTTTCTGCATGGGGACCCTGCCGAAGGCGGACCTGGACAATTCTCCTCAAAACCGGGACTTCATAATCCAGTAATTTTGTGTGCGTGTGCGATATTGTTCCTAGGAGAATAAAGCACCCCGAGGTCCGAAGGTTAGGGTCACTAAATGATCCTCACCGCTGCGGAGCGCGGGGACTGAGAATTCTTGCTTGCATCACAAGTAAAATGAGCAGGAAACACGGAACTAGGGTTTCGTGTTTTTGGTATACAGATCTAGAAAATTAACCACAGAGTCTGTTTTTATAAAAACGGGGAAATCCGAAAGATCCTGATTTCGAGCTGTCATTGGATAAAAGAACGTTCGAGACCGGTTATAAGAGAGAGAGAGAGAGAATAAACTTTTATTCTGACCATTTCACCAAGGTGGTCCGTGCCGGATGGAAGTGATTCCCTCTTCACGAGGTCCCATATGCTGCCTTAGCGGCCTGGCCCCTGGTGACCAACTGAAACTGATCTTCCAGAGTAGGGCTGGACAGCAAGGTCTCCCATCGCTCTTTAGGGGAAAGGGTGAGGGTGGTGGGGGATAGGGGCGGTGGGTGTTCTTGATTGAATCTACACTCGCCTACCATGTGACGAAGGGTTCCTATCTCTTGGCACATTGGGCAGTTCCTGCCGTGTTGAGTGGGGAACATGCGACTGAGTAAAAGGGGGTGGGGGAAGGACCCTGACTGTATTTGCCTATACGCTACCTGTTCCGCGTTAAAGGACCCATGAAACGAATTTTGGGCTGGAGTAAATCAATTTATATTGGGATTTTACTAATAGCACATCGTTCAGTGGGCCAAAAGAACAAAGGTAGAAAGTCAGAAGCCTGACTTTCGCTACAAAAATTTGCAAAACATAACGGACTATTTCGTACCTCCTTCCCTCCGTAAACTCTCCGCCCTTTCACTGTGATACATCCGCGGACCCCGCAGCGCGTCACCGGGCTACTAGCCACCATAACTGGGCCCCCGCAGCGCGTCACCAGGGCCCAAGCGCACGTCACACGACACCGGACCTCACTTAGTGCCTTTACCCCTAAGCTGACATTGCGGTGGAAGCTACGCGCTTGCCGGACCAATCAGCCGCCTCCCTTTCATCACCTGACTTCATTCTCTGCGGGTCGGTATGCGCGAGAGGGCGTGATCACGTGGAAAATGTGTGGCTGGCCCAACGAGCACGTAGCTTCCACAGCACTGTCAGCTTCGGGGTGAACGGGGTGGGGAAAGCAACTAGTCGGAATTGTGAGCGACGGGCTAATCTTCTAGGGGGACAATGGCTGTGTCCGGGCTACACAAGCGAGATTCCGAGCAAGAGGGGACTCCCTTCTTTCCGACTTCTTGAACTGTTTGGTACAATGCGCGATTTATGAGTTGAGGAGGAAAGCTAAACAAAAAAAAGTTGAAAAAGCGGCAGTCTTTACCTTTCCTTGCGGTAGAATGTTATTATTTCCTTGTAGGTCATCATGGGTTGATCTTTCACCTCTTCCACGGCTGTGACCCGGTAAGTCAGCGCGCGGACCTGCCGGTCAGGAAGTTCATCATTGCCCTCCACCGCGGAGTGGGCAGGTACCCATACAACGTCTATGGGCTCCTTTGGGGGTCTCTTGTTTTTGAGCACCCGCAGCACTTTTCGGGACACCCAGCCCGACTAAAAGCTCCGGTACGCTTGCTGTGAGTTGGTAATAACGAAGTCAACGGGAATCGGAAATCGCTTCGCTATATCAGCTTCTTCGTTATAATGAACTCATTCAAATAACGTGAAAAAAAAATAACACGGTTTGTCACGGGCATATGTTTACCAGGCCTGCAGAAAGCGGTCGAGACTTCCCTGTGCGCGTCCTCTGCTAGATCGGAGCCGCTTCTTGGCAACTGCGAGAAGCTCCGACCGAAAAAAGACCCTACTACGTATGTACCGTGTCGACAGGTGTGACGGCCCCGCGGAGGACGCCGGCGGTGGACGACATTCTTCACGTTTATGCGCACTCCGTCGAGGATGGCACGCTTTCGATTCAGGAAGATTGCCTTCGTCTTCCCCGTCGAGGTGCCACCGGTGCCGGGACTGTCCATCGTTCAGTGGCAATGATTCGCCGAATCGGTGCTTGAGCGAAGTAGATTTCTGCGCAAGAGCGACCTTACCGACAGACGCCGCCAGGGATCACGAAGCAAACAAAGCGCGCGATTCTCAGAGTTCGCGCTCAAGCCCTCAAGCTTGTTTATGCTCGGTATAGAGAGCCTCGTTTTAAGGGATGAGGCAACTGCTCGATCGGGGTAATCATGTGGTTCGTCGGCCGTGTTTTCAAAGCGAGCTGCAACATGCAAGGAGTAAAAACTCAAAAGTGTTTCCTTTTTGCAAACGTGTCCGCCTCTCCGCTCAGTTTTCTCCCCACACTGGTCACGCGACAATCAATTGCAGGCGTACTTACTGTTCCCTTTCTTAAATCAAGGCTCTCTTCGTCATCTCCGCCAGTAAGCTGTCGCTCGCGCTCCGAACGCCCCTATCGGCATTCCACGACGGTTTCTCCGCGTGCGATCAGGTAAAGCCGCTACCCAGATGAGGAGCGGGGAGCAGACGACGTTGCAGACTGCCGCCGACGGCCTTTCCAGCATCTTCTGCAGCCTGTTCTGGATGGCTTCTTGGCCGCGGCAGCAAATTGCAGCGGTCCGAGACTTCGTAAACTTTCAGAATCTTTTTTCGTTTTTTAGATTATCACAAAAATTCTTTCCGCTATATCCGCGGGAGCCGCTCAATTTCCTTCGTTAAAAACGGACACAAATGCATTGAAAAAGTGCACACGGAAATGGGAATTCGTGATCACTTCGCTGTAGCTGCTATTTCGTTATAACCAACTTCGTTATAACCGGCCTCGACAGTGCCCCAGGCTTTCCGGAACGGAAATCTCAATCTTTACCTTCATTTTGGGTTTACTGTGCGCACAAAACCCACTGAACTCTCCGCGGCCAAGAAAAAGCCCCGAGTGCTGCTGCCAAAAAAAAAAAAAAAAAAAAAAGAGAAACGTTTTAAAACGAACTATTATCTTATCAAAAGTTATGAGTGAGTTTCGGAAATTTTTAATGGTAAAATGGTGACCGACAAAGCGCACGAATACATGGGGCTTGAATAGCGCTAACTACCGAAAGGGGCGCAACATTTTTCTATTGTAAGGTTAAAAAAATTATGTCTAGCTTTTGAATAATATAGCGGTTAGTTTGGACACTTTAGCATCTGGTACAGAACGCTAGCGCTACAGATGGGTGGAGACTGAATACTCGGCGATAAATATACTTAATTTTTGCAGAAATTTTTTTAGTACATATATTAGTGTTTTTTTTTTAATACTGCCATTGCATGGACAGAAAAACTAATGCGTGCCCCCTTTTATTCGAAGTGGTATTTACTGGAATTAAAAAATTGCAGGCACGAGGTCGCGGTTTCGAAACGTGCTTTCCGGGAACGATCTAAGTGCTTTCCGGGAACGAGGGCAGGCACTGACAGGGCAGCGAAGGCTACACTAGAGCCACTAAATAAGCTACGCTTATACCCTTGTTACACGGGCACACTTAACTGCAGTTACGCTAAGCCACAGTCAGCGCACAATATTTACGGACAACATTCTACGGCTATGCAGTCAAAGCTATGGGTGAACGTGCGCTTGAGCATCTTGAGCACCCATCAAAGCAGTGCGCGCGCGCTCTTCACTTCTTCTGAAATAGCTGTTCGAGAGTATAGTGCGGTGTCTGTGGTGCCGCGCAACAGCAGTTAAGCTGAGTTAACCGCGGTTAAGTGTGCCCGTGTAATGCCTGATTCACATGGTGCGAATTTGCCTGCGATTTCGCAATTGCGACGCCGTTCTTGCGGCACAACGCAGTTGCGGTGCGAATTCGACTAATTCGCAACTCCGTATTTTGCCAAACTTTCCTTGCGAACGGCCGCTCTTGCGAAGGGGACGGACAGCCAATCAAACGCGGCTCGTGAAAGACGTCACGGTGGTCATAGCAACGTGGGAATCAAAAATACGAAAAATGCGTCACCTACGTCGTCGTCTTCCAAATTCGCTGTGGGGGTGGGGCGGCGGATGTGCTTCTTCCAAGTGAATATTTTTCGCCGGGGGATGTAAGCTTCAGTTCGGCATTAAAACGAACTGGCGTTTCCGTACCAGGCGAGGGTTGTGGTTGCTTCCTTCGTAAAATTGCACGCGATAACAATTGACGCTTCTGTTCGATCACTTTGCGTAAGGGACTCGTTGAATAGTAGAAAGGCCCTTTCTTGAAATTTGTTTGCAGATCTGACACGAAGGTCTGTCCAGAAACCGAGAATCGCTGAACAGCACCTTGTTATTAAAGCCATTTGATAAAAATCGAGCTTGACATTTTTACGAAGTGCCAACAACTATTGATATGTAAACGCGCCGGACGCGTGCTACGCGAGTGACACACGTGTAAAATGGCTTTAATTACAAGGTGCCGATCAGCGATTCTCGGTTTCTGGACAGACCTTCGTGTCATATCTGCAAACAAATTTCAAGAGAGGGTCTTTCTACTATTCAATGACTCCCCTACGCAAATGTCACACGTGCCACGCGTGACATTTGTCATGGAATCCTGTGACAATTTGGTTTCGTGCATAGTTTGCGATTATTTCACCAACATGATTGCTTTGGCTTTTTTTGCATCTGAATACCTGTGGTTTTTTTCATTTATGTCGTTTCCTTTATCTTCAGTGTTTTTGTCATGTTCGCAATCGTTAATATTGCTTTGAACTAAAAAAAAAGCTTAACATTTATGTTAGCTTGTTCATGCTGACCTACACTGAGGAAGTACAGAATGTGTTTTGCACGTCCAGCGTGTCGTTCATTTCATAAAAGTCGGCCGATAAAACGAATTCTGTGTTTTGTAAAGACCCGATTGCGCAGCGTAGGTCCAACGAAAACAGTAAAATAGCACCTTACCCTGTGGGGAATCAGCCAGTACTCTGTCGATCTACTTTGGGCTATATCTCCCATAAAGAGTGTCCGCCAGTTTGTCCGTAAAAGGGGCAAAGACCACAACCCATTTTCTACAAAAATATTGACTGATTTGCAGGCAACGTGTCTGGGGTGGAAGTGAACTAGAGAGATGACATGATGCAGGGGTGATTCAGAAATCAATTTTTTATTGCTGGCTTTAAATGTTGAAAGATAACAACTAACAAAAGACAAAAAAGATGCAATTACAAAAGAAAAAAAAATCAAGTACAGGCTCACCTTTTTGGCAGACATCAAATGTGAATAAAGAGGAACATAACACGTTGCTGGAGTCATGGGGTGCACCGGCGCCAAAAGGCAAATATTC